ATATACCGCTTCTATGTCTTCGTCATTAATTAATATAAATTCAATAAAAATTAAAATAAGAAGATAATTAGAAGTTCCTTTTCCAGATTTAAAAAATAATTAAAAGTGTTTTCTATTCAAAAGTAGCAAAAAACAGCGCCAAGCAAAAGAAATGCTACATTTATATATTTTAAAAAGACCATTTAACAACTTTGCACAATTTTTTTATATGTATAATAATATTACTTCAACCTTGAAGAAAATAAATAAACAATGAGTGAATGTTACAATTATCATTTTACCTTGAGTTGTTCAGATTCGTTTTCCTTTTTAAGTTGTAATAATCTTCTGGCAAAGCGCATTACCATCTTTCTTTTTTTACCCTGACCAGAATTTCTGACTTGACCAGAAATTGATTTAACTTTTCGTAGCATTTTGCGGCCATAAAATAAAGCTTTATCCCTTTTTCTAAATCTCACAGATTGAGATGCAGGAATATGAGTTGTTACCGCTAAAAATACATACATAATATGTGTATAATTTAGTTGATAGGAATTTTACCTTTCGCGTGAGATTTCCTAAGTATTAAAATACCCACAAACAAAGCAATCAAACAAATGAAAATGAGTATAATATAGAAGCTCTAAAAAAAGAAAACATTTAATACAGCGCATATTTTATATTTACAGCTTAAATAGTCATCTTACTCCATATGATTCCAGAAATTTATGAAATATACTTCCTATCCATGTTGACCCAAGCAAGTTGCCAAATTTGTTGTCAATGTTTATTAATAATTTTACTACATCCATCTTTACACTTCTGATTACCTACATTTATTTAGATAAAAAAACGTAACTTGTATAAAGGCGGCGATTCATTGAGTAAAAGGCAGTTAGTTCTTCATTACCATTTAAAAGACTTTATTCAGGCTTTACAGTTTTCTTACACTTCATTTGGCCTGTAAATATTTTTATATAAACCACTCACTGTCAATCATATTAAATCTTAATAGTAAAACATGTAATAATTAATGCTATTCTTTTTCTGCTGTAAAATAAAATAGGATGTAGTAATGATAATAAAAATAATAGATATACATATTTTTAGTATAATAAACTTAAAAAAAATTGTAATTACTTATCTAAAGAATTAAATGTATATTGATTTTATTATTATCAAGCACATTATTTCTTAGAATAAATATCGAGTAAAAGTAAAATTGAATATTTAATGTGGATAAAATTAAATTTTATAATTGAGGGTACGCATGTATCTATTTTCGTCCTGAAATAATTCTGTTTTAATATAGAAAACAAAAAAGAGAATACACTGCAATGTTATAGTTGCTTCTCTCTGTTTACCTGTTTCCAGGTCTGATAATTCCCATCCAAATAACCACTACCTTAGCGTTTCGGTACCTCTATTGTTTAAGTGGTATTATCTTATGATTGCGATCATTTACTTCTTGTTTAAATAATGGCGTTTATTTAAAATAATACTAAAAGTATTACGTACATATAGTAATAACTTTTCTTATGGAACTATAGTTTTTCTACACAAGTATTATTTCCTGGTTTATTTGTGCCTAGTTCTTGAAATATATATTTTATACTAAATAAATATTGTGCTTATTGATTGATATTGAAATTTGGGTGCAACCTACGATGTTGGAATACCTATGTAACATACAAAGAAGTACAATCAGCAATATCTTGTTGAATTTTTTATAATTTACATATGCATTGTAACGCCAACGTCAATATAACAAACGATAACCTACGTTAAAATCTTACCTTTTATTTATATATAAAAAATAA